TTGATGTGTTCATGCGTGCACATCTGCTCACAGACTCATGTTCATGTTTGTGCTGATGTTCAATGTTTTATGTTATGAGTGCTTAGTGTATATTTAGTTGATGTTTTTCTTAGTTCATATCTTAGATGTTATTACTGTTTTTCTTATACATTTTATTGTTGGATGTAACTGGGACCATGTGTACATAATTTCGCTCCACCACATGTACCACATGAGGTGCGAATGACAATAAAGAAACTCTGACTCTGACTCTGATAAATATAACAGGGCAGAACTTTTAAAACCTTAAAAACAAGCAGTAAAATCTTAAAATCAACCTTAAAAACAAGCAGTAAAATGTTTTCTAGTTGTCGTCAAAAGATGAGCTGCTGCGTTCTGGATGGAAGCGATGCAGAGATGATTTATCTAACAACATACAATGCATTACAAAAGTCCAAATGGGAAGTAGTAAAAGCGTGAATCGCATTTTCAAGGTCCCTAAAAGGGAGGTATGACTTCAGCTAGGCAATGTGTCTTGGAAGAAACTGTGTTTCACAACTGCATTTATCTGTTTGTCTAATTTAAAAGCTCTGTTGAAAATAACTCCCAGATTCCTGACAGTGGAGTGGTTGTATGAAGCCTACGGGGTCAAAAGTGTCAAGGGTGTGATATTTACCAAAGCTGATTACTTCAGTTTTATTTTCATTTAGATTCAGGAAATTTAGTTTCAACCAGACTTTACTATTGTTCAGACACTTCAGTGTTTCCAGTGGAGTGACCCTGTCTGACTTAATGTGCAAATACAACTGAATATCATCGTTGGCATGATTGTTCTGTTTCAAATGGCTCTGATCTCTCTGTGGTCAATATCCATAACGCATATTAGTTGTCTAATGTTTGATCTGATACCCTTTGTCTATCATTGTGACAAGATTAAGCATTTATTTTCCGGTTCCTGTCATGATTCTGCTGTTATGTTGAACCCACATGCAGGCAGAGGAGGAGATCTCGGAGGTAAAATAGGGAAAATAATGTAACAAAACAAAGACTGTCGTGGCAGCAAAACTTACGAGGAAATACACAGGAGCAGGATGACACGGAGGAACCTTGGGGAAACAAAACACGACGCCGTACAGGACGGAAACAAGGAAATGCAGAATATATACTGACGCTAACAAAGAATTACAAACACCTGGGGAAGTACAATGAGGGGCAGGTGCAGCAGGAGTTGACAACATGAGGGAAACACTGTGGAGGGCTGGACAGATGACAAGAAAATCACACACACAGATCCTCTCAGTTTCTTTACGTGTTTATTTCCCACTCATCTCTGCTCGCAGTGACTCTTTGAGCTCAGACGTCCTCACATCTTATCTGATGAGTCTGAAGTAGCCAGACTTTACAAAACAAACAAACCCAATATGTGGGAATAAGATGCTGCTGATCAAAAATTACATAAAACACTAAGAAAACAACACTACAAACATATAAACTACGATATAGTGTAGTGAAAGTGAAAGGTGTATAGTAATCAAATTCATTACATACTAAAAACATTCATTGTGGACTAAATTTTAAAGACAAACCAATCTGATTTGTTCTTGGGTTGGGGTGGGGGGACCTCCTTAACGATTGAGGGTTTGAGCCATATAGACCTCAGACCTCAAATCATGTCTTCCAGGAAATGGTCATCTACAATGTTTGCAAAAATAAGTTGGGGTAGAAATACAGGTGGTGTCACAAGAACGGAGTACCCAGAGCGAAAGGACTGAAGAAATATTCAGACACAAAAGTATCAATTCAGTGCTTTTACTTACAGTGCGGGAGAGGTGGCGCAGAGGTTAGAGAAGGTGGGCATGTGATCGAGATCACCGGTTCAACTCCCAGTACCGACATTATCAAAATGTGGGTGGAAAAGTTGAAACAACCACACCTGCCTCCACCCTCATTTGCCCCACTCTGAGCCCTTGAGCAAGGGCCTGAACTAGACCTGTCACAAAAACAAATTTTGCTAAGCGATTCATTGTCTCAGAAATTATTGCGATAAACGATAATATTGTTTGAAATTTCACAATTAGTAATTATTGTCAAATTTAAGAAGAAATGTTGGTTAATTTTTGTGTTTAGTACCTTTTTTGAATACTGGATGGCAGTATAAGACTTTTTGAACCGAAGGGGATATATATATATATATATATATATATATATATATATATATATATATATGCCTGGAGCCTCATCAGGACACATTGCTTGCAGGTGTGGCAGTATGGCGCCCTCTGGTGACCAAAGACCAACGTGGAACAGGAACTCCCACAGGTGGACTCGAGCATGAAACAAGTCAACTGTCTTTTGAAAATAAATAAAGAATTATAAGAAATTAAAATAAAGAAAAAATTAAAACGCTGTCATGGTCATGTGTTCCGAAGATGTCTGTTGAAGGTGTGGCCCTGACTGACACCAGTAAGAAGAATTTTTTTTTGCCAGGGATTGTTTGATTAAACATCAGATGGAGTCAAATAAAGTGACGTCACAGTTCTGTAGTCAAAATGAAACAGTCCATGACACGTTTAGATTCACAACTATGACACCAAACTACGACATATCTTTGGAATCAGTGGCATAAACCAATATTCTTCTACATAAGTCACAGAAAAAGCAGAAGTTGAAGTGTTGTGCTTAAAATCTGCTTGCCTAAAATATTGTGGGCAACTTCATTTCCACAAAACCAAAAAAGATATATTCTATGAATGAAATCATTGTTGAAAAAGTAGATACAAATGAGCTGGGTGCATGTTGCTGCATCACATCAGTCCCCTCCTGTGACTACTTCACTGCCATGTTCTCTGAGTCTGATTTCTCCATTTTTTTCAGGCTCGGTGACCAGTTTTATAAGGACGCCATTGAGCACTGTCGCAGCTACAACGCTCGCCTCTGTGCAGAGCGGAGCGTGCGGATGCCATTCTTGGACTCACAAACCGGCGTGGCGCAGAACAACTGCTACATCTGGATGGAAAAACACCACCGCCAGCCAGGTGAGACACATGACAGGGCTGAGAGGAAATCTACCTTCTTCCAAAAAAAATTAACTAATAGTGCCATGTGATCCATAAAACTAATTTAAAACCACACAAGTTGGACCAAAGTTCTTGTAATGTCCACTCTTTACTTATGTGACATAAAGATTGTGGTCTAAGAATGGAGGCATGGGTTCATATCCCACTTCTGACACCATGTTACTTATGTGACATAAAGGATGAGGATGCAGCTTCTCTTGCTCCGGCATCTTTATTTTACCTCTTACGTTCAAACAATGCAGTGTTGCCAGGTGAGAAATGTAGGATTATCGTACTAGAGACATAAAATTATCGTATTTTGAGGGAAATTATCGTACACCCATCATAACCAAAATAAATCTATTAATGCACTATAGTAGTGATGAGTCCTCTTCCAGACTGGCTCTACTTCTTCTTTTCTTTTCCTCACTCATGGGGCGAGCGCAGTGGACTATTCAGCCAATCATGGCCGTTGTTCTGAGGCAAACGCATACACGTCACTCGTAGGTAACATTTAGAAAAGCATTTGTTTGTGGACACAGATGTCTTCAGGGTTCACAAAAAAACTCGGACAAACAGTTGCGAGAGACTGGTGACAGCCGATTACAACCACACATTCACGGAATGGTCAAATTATTGTATATTTGGCCTTTTTTGGGATTATTGATCGTACATCAAACAGAGGGCAAAATTGTCGTACAAATGCGATAATTATTGTACACCTGGCAACACTGAAACAATGACTGTACAGTAGTACCCAGGATCCTTTGCGCAATCTCTTAAAGTGACAGTACTTCTGTATTTACCATTCATTACAGTTCTGTTTGATAACTAAAAATGATAAAACATTTCAATAAAATGGGAAAATGGATTGATAATGGAAAATAAGTGAAAATATTAAATTTAGAACACAAACACAATAAGATTGCATGACTGGCTCTACTATAATCAAATGCTTAAGAAAATATAAGTTGTCTCTCCAACTTTAAACCAAACAGGGTCATCCTCAGGTCAGAGGTACAGCATGTGTGTTCAGTTCATAAATATGAAATGTCAAGTCCTGAACCAGAAAAGTCAACTGGAAGACTCACTTGAGGCAGAGTTTCAAAGAAAGTATGAAGTTCCTCACTTGCCCCAAAATCCAACATGGCTGCCCTGTGTGTAACAGGCACACAAAAAGCTGCAGAGATGAACTATTTATTTACACTTTTGCCAAATTTGATTTAATTAAATTTGTTTCCTGTATAATACTAATTAACCTCTCTATAAGGAGCATGTTGCTGCAGTGGTTGAATACATAAAGTTCAGCATGATGCATTGGTATTAGCGTGTATTGTTAGCTTAGCTAGTCAATAAATACAGGTTTTATAATTGTGAAGTTGTGAGTTATATTCCCAAATTCAAGTTTCAACCTTCAAAGCTTGATTGACTGCAGCAATAGTTTTGTGTTTATGATCATTTTAAGTGTATTTTTGTGGAAATGTTAACAATGACTCTTACTTGTGGTAAATACTTCTTTAAACATCCTCCGTTTTGAGAGATTGTTAATATTTTAGTAGAGTGATGAGCTAATGGCTAGTCTGAGTGAGGCCATAGCATAGTTCATGACGTCATTAAACTACATCAATCTAGAAAGTACCCTAGTGGTTCATGCAAACAATGTTTTATTAACCTTTAAATCGTTATTAAATCCACATTGTGGGGGTATTTCAGCTGACATGTTAGAATGTTTCTGCCAGAGGTGCCCCAGGACACAATAGAAATTCTACAGCTAGCCGCTGCTGCTATGTGCATTTGCAAAAACACAGACTTATTTTTGTAAATACCTGTAAAATAAAACTGATGGCGGTGTAGAAAATCATAAAATATTATTTGTATCAACCACTTTGAAAGTTTTGAGATTAAAGCTATTTAGGGATGGCAGCAGTTAACTCCATTTAGTCTTAGCCCTGCTCGGACTAGCTGCTAGCTCGTCAGAACAAAGGTAAATTTTCAAACTGTGGTAAGTCAAAGTGTTATGTACAACAGGTAAGATATTATTTGTTCCTAACATTTCCACATAAGATCACTTCAAAATGCCTAAACTATTGTTTTAAAGCGTTTAAAGAAAATAAAGTTAGGTCATTAACTCTCCGACTTCATAAAATAACCCTCACTTGTTTAGTTTTGAAAAATGTACGAATAAAATTTATTTATTGCTTTAATAAATATTGTTACCGTGAACTTGTCAGGAAAAGCCATGAAAACATCCTGTTAGTACAGTTACTGTACTGTGATTCTTTTCTTTTCACTTTAAGTCTTGAGCTAAGATTACCAGCTGCTTACTGAAATTTAATGTTTTACAGACACGAGACACAAGACAAACTCATACATCTAAAGAACGGCTGCATCCATGTGCAAAAGTTTTAAACCACCTAAAAAGTCAGAGTCAGAGTTTCTTTATTGTCATTCGCACCTCATGTGGTACATGTGGTGGAGCGAAATTATGTACACAGGGTCCCAGTTACATCCAACAATAAAATGTATAAGAAAAACAGTAATAACATCTAAGATATGAACTAAGAAAAACATCAACTAAATATACACCAAGCACTCATAACATAAAACATTACGTTGAATATCAGCACAAACATGAACATGAGTCCGTGTGAGCAGATGAGCATGCATGAACACATCAACATTGAAACAGACCAGTAGCAACATGAAACAGATCAGCAGCAACATGAAACAGATCAGCAGCAACATGATGTGATTTTTTTTCTTCACAATGATTATTCTGAGATTCATGAGTCTAACAGCCTCAGGGTAGAAGCTGTTCCTCAGTCTAGTGGTTCTACACTTAATGCTCCTCAACCTCCTTCCTGAGGGGAGTGGGACAAAAAGTGTGTGTGCTGGGTGAGTGGGGTCCTTCATGATGCAGGTGGCCCTCTTCCTGCATCTGGAGGTGTAGATGTCTGTGATGGTGGGGAGACTGACTCCGACAGACTTCTGTGCAGCCTTCACCACTCTCTGCAAAGCTTTTTTTTCTGCAGCTGTGCAGCCTCCATGCCACACGTTGATTCTGGAGCACAGGATGCTCTCCACTGCACACCTGTAGAAGGAGGTGAGGACTGAGCTTCCCAGACCAGCTCGTCTCAGCCGTCTGAGGAAGTCAAAAGTCCAAAGAAAAACTGCAAGAAAACCTGAAGAAATGGAGTTCAGGACGATTAGAAACAATTCAAAGAAAGTCTGACTGAGGGATGAATCAAGACTTGTGCACAGTACTTTAAATGTAGCCTCCTCCAATAAATAGTCCTTCAGTCCACCTCTCCTATAAATATGTTTCACCGACGTATGGAGCAGTCAGAAATCGTTATGTACATGTGGTTCGTCCATAGAGCCGAGGGGAGCGATCCGCTCCCTGCTGAGACATGGACAGAAATAGCCCGCTCTCCGTCTTGAATGCAAACCCCTTCAGGCCACACCCTATACTTTGTGGCCGACCTAACTCGCATTATATTCATTTATTCTGGTTTTATCCCTCTCCCTCCTTCGCCTGCATTTTATTTTCTGTTCCTCTGCTCATGCAGACATAAAACCTCTCTTCCTTCCACCAAGCTGCAGTAGACTCTGATTAAAAGTGGAGGCGTGATGTTTATAGGAAGATAATTATATACCTTGTCTCTAATATCTTGTACGTTTAAAATAAACTTCATTTTGTGGGTGTTATTTGCTTGGGGAAAAAAAAAATCCAACAAATTAATTTAAAAAAATTGTCTCTGAGAGCAGGATGGTTTTTTTTTCTGAAAAGTCACAGATTATTAGTCTTAATACAGGTGGAATCAATACACGTTACTGTAAAAGTGTTACCTGAAACAAGTCTTGGCTTGGGTGTGTATTTCTGTGTTAATCAGTGGTGTACTCTATGCAATATGCAGGTACACAGAGTATACCCACTAGAAACGCATGGGAATTTCAGTATACCCACTTAAAAGTGCCCAATGACACGAGCCCATATCATGTATCAGCAATGATACATGATATGGGCTCGTGTCATTGTCAACACATCTGGAACATTTTATAGACACATTGATTTGGTTCAACCTGTTTTTTGTATAATTAATTATTCTGTACTTACTACTTAGTACTAGAACGTTTTGCTTTGATACTGCTTTATAAATTTTATAACATGTTTTTAATACAAAGCCAACTGTTGTACAGAGTTTGTTGTTCATTTATTCAAATAAAAGCATCAGAGAAATTTGGAAATGTTCAATATGCTTAAAAATCAAAATAAATTAACAATGACATTGTACTAACTGGTATACTTTGGTTTCTAAGCACAGTATGCCCAGTACAAAAATGTAGACTACACCACTGGTGTTAATGACTGTGTTTGTGTGTGTGAAGAGGACTTTGTGCAGGGCTTGTTAAAATGTTATATATATATATATACATACTGTATATATATGTTTGTGGGTGTGTGTTTGTCCAGGCCAGGCCGCAGGACAGATGTATACGTACCCTGCTCGCTGCTGGAGAAAGAAGAGGCGACTCCACCCTCCCCTGGATCCCCAGCTCCGCCTGTGTGAGCTTCGATTAGGTAAGACAACCCCCCTCCCCATGATGGGTGCAGTGTAAAACAGTACTCACCCACAGTTACACAACAAAATCCATTCTAACTTGTATATCTTTTGACTTTTTGCAAACTGCTCTCACTTCATAAACAACTTGCATCATTTCTCTTGATATCTGGCCATCTGGCTCTGGTTAGCCTCGCTCTCACCAGGTCTCCAGGTTCATTCTCTCCCTTGAATCAATGCCCCCTCTCACTGTTCCGGCGCTGCACACACACACATGCAGATACCTCACACACATGACTTTTGCTCCCCGCTGCAGCTCAGAAGCACCCTGTCTGGGCCTCACTAATCATTCGTCCACGATGCATTAAAAACGAAGTCGTATGAGGTGACCGTGTGCGCTTTATGTTGTGCATCCATGCCTGCGTACAGTGTTTGTGTTTTAGCAACGGAATGCTCAAGAACCCGATAAGAGGAAAATAAAAGCATGTCTTTGTTTCGGCTTTTCCTCTTCATTGTTTCCCTCTTTCCGTCTCCCAAATGCAATATAATCCTCCTGAGCTTACTCTACAAAAACGATTGCTCTTTAAGCCGAGGAAAGGGGGTTCTTCTAGTTGAAGTAAAAAAATAAAACAAAAAAATAAAATACAAAACTCACCTGAGCTGCAACTGAGCAGCCGACCAAAGTAAATAACAGGAAACAAAACCAGCAGCAAATTGTAGAGAACAAGAAAAATCTGGAATTTCTCTTCAGCTGAGAGTAAAAAAAAGAAGAAATTTTTCCATTTTCATATTAAGATATTCAGACGTCTGTAATAAAACACAGAACTGAGAGTTCTTTTCTCCCGGGCTTTGTCAAATGCTTTATGTTTATGTAATGCATCATGCACAGAGATTTGTCTGCGTGCCCGGGTGCAAACAGTGGATCTGTCACAAGACTGCTTCAAAACAGGATTTATTTCTCTGCATGTGTTCATCCTTTTCTTTGTGTTTTGGGTGTCAGAGACTCTGGAGCCAGTTTGCTTTCTTTAATATAAACCAAAAATGACATAAGACTCAAACAAATGCATTAAACTACATTTTATACCGACGTTGTTTAAAAAATTAGCAGACTGAATACAAATAGTTTGTAAAAAAACAACACATTAAATCTGAAAACAGAGACATGTGTACCCTCATGAGTTTGATGACAGCAGTATACTAGAAGACTCGAAAAAGTGGCGACAAAAAACGGAGACATTTGGAGTAAATAATAGAAAAAAAACTTGCTTGTAGATCTTCACTTTGATAATTTTGTGAAAGTCAGCCACATGGATGGAATTAAAAACAGCTCAAAACAGGCTTTTAGGATTACAAATGGACTGAAATTAATGGGAAAGACTATTAGCTCAGATAAATCTGAAGAAAAATCTGTATTTAGTGGCTGTCATGGCTGAAATCACTGCATTAAATGACCATCCCTGTTTTTTTTCATTCATTCATTCAACCTTTATTTACACAGATAAATCACACTGGGCTTCCAAGACTCATTTACAAGTGAGACCTGTTTAGACAGACAAAAAGTAATGAATGTGACACATGTACAGGATTTGGAGGCAACAAAAATTTTCTAACAGACTCTCACTCCTTGGCCGACGAGAGATAGCCTGAGATTGAAAAAAACACCCCGCGCATAAGCACATAGCGACACAGACATTCCGCAGGGGAGGGGAGACGACAAGAGCGGTGAGCGTGTCCAAGGACACACCAGAGGCACTGTAGGAGTTCTGATAAGAATGGTACAATCAGTCAGTTCTCTCTGGTGAGGTCCGTGAACACTCTCGAGGGGTGCCGAGGTCGACCTAGGACAGTTAGCAGAAATCACGTGACGGTACAACACTGCATGACGTTTAGGTATCCTACTCCTCCACAAAACACAAAAGTTCGATAAGTACCTTTCAGGCTCAGCAGAAGGCTTCACTCTCTTTTTTTCCTGAATGCATCCCTGCGTTATGGTTAGTCTGCTTTTAAAATTTCAAGGGGTGAGGACAGAGATGCTGCAGCAGGTTCATCTCAGCAAAAGATAACGGAGGTGTCGGGGAAACAACAGGATTTAATCAAGAGTCGCAGTGTTCCACTGATGGATCGCTCGGTATATATTAGTTTTACGGATGTCCCAATTTTGAACAGCAACCAGACGTTTGTTAATTACTAACTACACCTGCACACCGACGCTAGCTCGTTTTTTTTTTTTTTTTTTTTTACTGGTAATGTTTCTGTTGAACCTGAAGTTTAGAGAAATAACCTTCTGACTGCCTCACAGCTCAAACACTCACGACCCATTTGAAACGTCTGACCGTTTGAGGTAACACAAATAAAGTGCACTTCATGGTACAATCTAACACGCACCTTACACATTGAAACACAACAACGCTCAGGCCTGAGATGATCTCAGAGTTCCCAAAAATTAGCTCCAGAGGCTAAAAGTTGAGATGCACTGCTGGTCTTGTAAATGAGATTATTCAGAACATATTTGCTTTGAACATTTGTTGACTTGATTTGTTGAGAAGTTTAGAATTTCACACTGCGGGGAAATAAATTATGAATAAAAACACACACAGTTTGCAATATTTAGAGGCACATACGAACTACTTTTGTTTCCCTTATTGTTTCTTCACGCTATGTCTACAGAAGCAGAACTGGCCCCCAAGCGTGAGGGTCCCCCAGTTGAGGCGACAGCCTTGGAGGCCCTCCTGAAGGCTGACAGTCAGCTGGAGAATAAAAAAAACAGCCTCTGTAAGGAGGAGGAGACGCTGCTGGAAATTCAGGTGATGTTTAAAAATGTACTCTCATTTTAAAAGGAAGTTAAAATAACATGAATCCCAAACACGTCAGGGTGGTTTTGCTTTCCTCAACACGAGAATTAGCTTTAAGACTTTTCATCATATGTTCATGTTTTAACAAAATGTGCTACGTTCTGTAATATTAAAGCTAGATGAAGCTTCTGCCCGGCTTTGCAACATCAAAGAGCGTAAATATGCCGAACGGCCATGTTTTCTTTGTTCACCACCTTTTCTTTTTGTTTTCTTGCCAATTTTTTCTTTGATGTAACCTTTTGTGTGTGATTCTATGATGTAGAAAGTGCTGGAGGCAGAGGAAAATGTGGACAGTTTTCACGATGACGATGAGCTTGAACTTGATACGCCAAAGAGAAAGAACAAGAACAGAGGAAAAGTGAGTGGCAGACAAAAGAACAAAACACAACACTGGTTTAATTATCGCTGGAAAATATGCATGGTAGTATAGTTTACGTACACTCGTGAAAAGGTGTACGTAAGGTCATAATTATTTGGGACTTTTAGTCATTTATTTAAACCATTATTTATGTGGAATAATTAAACATCTTCAATGATTTTTTTTTAACCAAGAACTCGGTGCAATACTTTGAGTTTATGCTGACTTGACGTGAAGAATTTAGAGGTAGTCCTTAATTATTCCATCTGCTTTGTGCAGTCTACCTGTACCACAGCATGATGCTACCACCATCATGCTTCACAGCGCTCTTAGGCATACCATACCACTTTATTTATAAAGCACTTAAAACAGCAACAAGTCCAACCAAAGTGCTGTACAGCAGAAACAAACAAGCAAAAAACACAGCAAAAAAATACATAGATCCAAATGGAAGACTATAATAACTAAATGGCTAACATTGTGGAATACAGACAGATAAAGAACAAATCACACAGTGTCAAAAGCCAGGGAATAAAAGTGAGTTTTTAAGTGAGACTTTGGGTGTTTTCACACCAGCCTTGTTTAGTCCGCTTTAATCGAACTCTTGTCCGTTTGCCTAAAAAGTCCGGTTCATTTGGGGCGGTGTGAATGTGCAATCGAACTCTGATGCGGATCAAAAAAGCGAATCCTGCTCCGCTTAAAAGCCTAGGTCTCGATTCAGTTGAACTGAACTCTGGCACGGCTTGAATGCATATGCGGATGCAAGTGGAGTGAAGACTGCTCCAAAAGCAGAAAGTGGACTACAGCACAGGGAATTCTGGGTAAATACAACCAAAACAAACGTGCATTTCTACCACTATCAAATTCTACCACCACATTGCTGAGACCATTGTTATAAAATGCTTGTTTGGCACATGCGCCACAGACAAAACAGAAATCCTAAAACCGCAAAAATTTGACGCCACTCCATTTTTGTTTATAGAAGAAGTAAGTTGCGCTCAGTGTCTTCTTCAGAGGTTTTCTTGTTGTTTCCTTCAGTAGTTCTTGGTGCAGCACCACCACAGTGGGAACAGGTTGCTCAAACGGTTTGCCTCGACTGACGCAGTGCAGTGTGAATGCGAACTGCATCAGCTGAAAAGGTAACAAATGTTCCAATTTTGGTCCCCAATCGAACTGGGCCTACCGGACTATCAGGTGTGAGAACACCCTTAAAAACAGTGAGAGAAGGAGCCTGTCTGAAAAGTCATTCCACGCATATGCGTCGCAACAATTATATGTGACGGGGACGTGTCACCCTCACATTTTAAAAAATATTGGTTATATTTACCATAAAATATTAGTTCACCCAGCACTGTTTCTGTTTTTTGTGAACAAATCCATTCCACCTGATCAATAGGAGAATACTCAAACCACTAAAAGTCCACTCCAGGTTTTCCTGGTTACCTACAACAAGTCAACACACCGCATGCAGTGTTTCCTCTAGGTCACTTGACAGGACGGGGGCAGGAGGGGGAGACACCTCTGTGTTACATGCTAGCTTTGCACTGTTCTGTCTGGAACAGGTCCATCTTGTAAATGAGTCCTCGTGGCTCAATGAGGCTAGCTTGTAAAAATAAAGGTTGAATGAAAAAGCACCTTGTTAGTGTGGGCAGTTGTTGACTGGGGTGGGGGTTAGGATGCCTGAAAGAAGTGGAGCGCTACGTCTGTAGCATCTTAGCTAGCACATATGTATTTTGTGCCGCTAGCTTAGTGCTATGTTAGTGCAGGCAGTTGTCTACCGGGGTGGGGGTGGAAGCATTGTGCCATGCTCTCTAATATAGTTATTGACTCAAGTGTTTACTTGTGTAGGTAAACATAGATGGTTAACAACCTGTTGAAATACACCAGAATGTATAAAATGGCATCTACTTTATTCAAAATTTTCTGGTGGAGGACACCCAGACCCCCCCACCAGTGTGCCCCCTCACATTACAAATGCTTCTGACACCAATGCTCTTAGGTTTGAAAGCCTTACCTTGACTCCTCCAAACATGCTTCTTCTTCTTCTTGACAAACATCTCAATCTTTGTCTGGTCTGACTAAGTTTTCTCCAGAAGACATCTGAGCATGAAAGTGTGGCTTTTGGAGCAGGAGCTTCTTTCTTGGTTATCTCGCCCTCAGTTCATGATGGTGTAAAACTGTCTTCATCGTGGACAGAGACACCAGTGTGTCCAGCTGTTCCCAGTTCATGTCAGGCCTTGGTGATTCCAGTGTTGTTCCTGAACACCTCAACCATTCTGTCATCTGAGGGTGACAGCTTGGGTTTTGTCCTGACCTTGGTAAAGTGGTAATAAGTTGTACTTACTGTAGGTACAGTTGTTTGAATGGAGGATCTTGGAGCTCAACTTGTTTAGAAAAAGCTCCAAAAGACTTTCCCAATTTTGGTAAACTTACATTTCTCTTTCTTTGATTGTTGTCAAGTTCCTTGGATTTTCCAACTTGCTAAAAGTGTTTCAAACAAACACTTTTCTGGCTGGTAAAGAAAAACTATTTGTTTAAATTATTATTATTATTATTTAACCTTTAATTAACCAGGCAAATCCCATTAAGATCACAGATCTCTTTTGCAAGGGAGGTCTGGGCCTCAAGGCGGCCTAGCATGCATGTTTTTGGACTGTGGAAAAACCCGGAGTACCCAGAGAAAACCCACACAAATACGAGGAGAACATGGAAACACCACACAGAAAGACCCCGGGTCCAAACTGGGAATTGAACCCAGGATCTTCTTCTTGCTATGAGGCAACAGTGCTAACCACTTTTCCATTGCTAATAAAAGTTGCAGTCAACTATAATCACTAATGCAAATTTAGTAACCTTTGGTTTTGTTGTTCAAATACATTTTAGAACCTTCATCAGTACCACATATTTAAAGAAATGAGTTCAGGATCTATATGTCTGACGTTGACCTTGTGCGGATTAAAGAAACCCCACAATAAGTTCAATCTAGTGCACCCAGTTCTTGTTTTTTTTTTAATCAGTGAAGTTGTAAGTATAACCATTCCACCCTGGAAAATACTGGTTTAAATAAATCACTGAAAGCTCCAAATTATTATGACATTTGCGCCCATTCTGAATGAGTTGTTTCCTTTCAGAGCAGAGGGTCAACTCGCAGGAGGACAGAAACTGTTAACGTCGACGACCAGGATAAACCTTACGTCTGTGACAGTAAGAACAAATACTTTGCGTACCATACCATCCTGTTTAGATACAAAGTCAAACTCAGTGTTTTTCAAAATGAAAAGTTCTTGTTAGACAAAAAGTATTGAAAAAACATTCGAAATGTACGTTTCTCACATCTTTTAACGATAGCCTTCTGTTTGACTGGTCCTGACATCAGTTTTCTTCAGCATGAAAAAAAAAGAGAGTTTGCTGTTTCTGCAGATTTGACTAGCATGCCACTGTTTCTTGGACAGAATCCCTCAGGATTAGATTACTGTCGGGGGATGGGGGGGATAGAGATGCTGACTGAAACAGAAGAATGTCATCTTCATTTTATGTCTCGTTCTATCTTTCCGTTATCGTTTGCCTGTGTGTGTCTCCTCTGTTCCAGATAGATACAAACAAAAGCATAACTCAAAAAAGGCTGAAGAAGGTATCGAAACGTGTCCCTGTCTTTTATTTACAAGCCGCTTCTTAAACTCTCATCACAATCAGCCTTTTTGCTAGCTGGCCTCTGCTGTGGCTGAGTGAGCTCTGTAAATGCTGCCTGTGCAGGTTTCCCTTCATGAACTCGGTGCGAGCGCCGCATGACACTAACGCTACGCTGTCGCAAACGTTGCTTCTGTAGAAGCTCTGCTGATGCTGCACTGAGGGATTCATGTTTCATGTGTTTAAGGCCATAGTTAGATTTAAAAAATATTCCATCAGTAGAAGTATTTACAGAGTGCATTTATTTATTAACCTTTCATTCCTTTATAAAGGCTAGTAATGGAGATTGTAATGGAATTTTCCTGTCAAACTAAATTGTAAGCAGAAATGGCTGCAGCAGTGAATCAGTCAAGAACTGTTTGTATTAAGTATATTAATCGGCTCACTGTAAAGACTTCTATATGATACCAAGAAGCATAGAGAATGAGGGTTTGTAAAGTTAGCACAAAAAGTTTGCATATCAGCTCACAGTTTTTAAATATCTGACTTATTCAGTAGTTACTAATAAACCTTTTTATTAAATTCCCTAGTTCTTAGCGTTGCTTCAAGTTAATACACTCACTGACTAAAAAAGGTTTAGCACCCAGACTGAGTGGTGGAAATGAAGTAAAACTGTACATGTTGAAAAGTTACTGGATCTAACTGTGTTGCAGTGGTTTCCATATCAGACATGCATAACCCTTCCCACACTCTTGCAATGTTCTAAACTCTAGAACCTACGTTTTAACAACATGCGTTGTACTGTACAGTAGCCAATTCAAAATTTTATATGGGTACTCACCAGCCTTGGTCCGGTTCTGATCGGCTCTCTGCAGCCGTTAAGCACAAAGACACTTTTGAGAGGCTTCCTGGGCTGGCAAGCAGCGCTCAGATTGACTGACGAGGCTGGAAGTAGTCCTGTTCCAATTCCCGGTTGGTTCTGTATGGCTTTCTGCATCCACGGAGCGCGAAGTCACGATGAATAAGGATCGAACTTTTTAGCCAGGTTCGGATCGGATCAAAGCTTTCTGTCCATTTTGGCAGAAAGCAGTGGCCGGAAACACTGTTGGCTTCTGGGTAGTGTAGTTATTTGGTGTTACGGTGTAGGTTTATTGAAAGAAAACTACAAAATGGCAGCGCCTGTTGTTTCGTTAACTTTTTATCCCATATCGTCCCAATCACGTGAGTTATATTAAAGTTGACAATCGTTGAAAAACCGCAAAAGAACAAGTCTGCGAAAGTCGAACTGCGAAGTAGCGAGGGACTACTGTAGTTACAATGGTTTATACTTGGCTTTTCTATATCAAGTCAGCAGTGGTGGGCACAGTTCCACTCATCTGCTAACAGCTAATAGCTTTTCGTTTAGCAAACATTTTGGCTAACTTTGGAAACCGTTTGCGGACCGGTTAGTTTTCAGTTTTCTTCATGATAACACAGAGCTAAGATTGATAGATTGATTGCTGAACATGCTACAGTACCACTCTTCATCAGACCATGCTTCTGAGCTATGGCACCACACCAAATGCAACTGCCTCTGCTCTGGCGTTAATGGCAGCGTACACATGGGACAGTGAACCCGTCCCATGTGTACGCTGCTGGTGCTGAATGACAACATGTTGGAAAGTTTGTGTGTTGCCTGTTTTTCTGTTTGTACAGCACTTTGGTTGGCTTGTCGCTGTGTAAGTGCTCTATAAATAAAATGGTATGGCATGGTATGGTATGGAAAGAACCCAACACGTGTGTCTGAATTGCAGGTGCAAATGTCACAGGATTCTGCTTTTCTTGGCCCACAATTCAACAATCATCCATTAGTGTGGTTTGTCTTGGGTGACCAGAACCTTCACAACATGTGCGGGTGTCTTTGCATTCCTGTTGGTTCCATCATCGGGCCACTGTGACATCAGAATGCCCAGTTCCACTCATACCATCAATGTGACCCTCATCAATCCCCATCAATTGCTGTATCGATGATAGACTATGCGTCTTCTGACCATCAAACACTGCTTTGACTGACTGTCAGATGCTCCAGCAACTGCCTGATAACACTACCACTCCACTCCTGATGCTAATACTTATCCTTTCTAATACCTGCTCTATACGTACCAACAAATCACATTATTTATACATCCATTGCTGATTTATAGGTATAGCAGATTATGTCCAAACGGAACCATTTGTTCTGTGTGTTTAACATTTTTTGTCAGTGAGTGTCATAGAAAGTATTGTTTGTTTAAAACTAAGTTTTAGCAACATGCTTTACCTGGTCATTTAACTAGACTTTATTGGGAATTTTCCATCAAGAGAAGAGGGAATTCCTTTGTTTCTCAATTAATCACAAGGTTTTATGTTTCAGCTTTATTTTGTCTTAAATGTATTATTTTAAAGTAACAATATGTTCTTTACTTCATATGAAGCCAATGAAAATTTTCTTTTATCTTTTCTCACCTTGTATCTCTAATGAACCCGTGACCTTTTGCCTACAGTCTGTGGAAAGCGCTACAAGAACCGTCCGGGCCTGAGCTACCATTACACCCACACTCACCTGGCCGAGGAGGAAGGTGAGGAGGAGAAGGAAACAGAGATGGTTCCGCCTTCTCCACCAAGTCTGGACAACCACAAACGTAAGATGCTGACCTTTCATTAGACTTTACTAAAGATTTCCACAAGTGAACGCTCAAAAACCTCCCAATGCACATAGTCAAATATTTTCAGATAACCCATGTAACTTCATCGTTCCCAATGTCTTCTTCTCCTCATGTGTGCCTGTTGCTGCTGGCAGCTCAAAAAGGCTCAGATGGTGCAGTTATCCCCAACGACTACTGTGACTTCTGCCTGGGAGACCAGGACTCAAACAGGAAAACGGGGCAGGCAGAGGAGCTGGTGTCCTGCTCAGACTGTGGACGATCTGGTGAGTCTGCTACTCAAGAACTTAACAATAAAGCATTTTTATTCCCCTACGCTTTAAAAGAACAAGAGAGGATCAGCAGCACTAATCATACCTTCTAAACTGTATTAAACAGTGATGTGCGGTGATGTTTGTGACAGGTGAGGCACTGATCGTCTGGAATCGGATGTTCACGTATATGAACCCAAAATAGAAGCTTATATTTCAATTTAGCCTCTTTTTTCTTTTAAAAAGGCATCTAATTATGCTTTAATGAACTGTTCAACAATGATGGCAAGAAAAACAAAATATTGAATGTAAAGTCAAACTATTTTTTTTATGGGGGGGTCCTCTTTAAAAAAAAAAAAAAGACGTATTATATTATCTTTACTTTAAAATGAAGTCCACGCGCCTATCCTTCTCCACGAATATCTCCGTTACTCTGTTGTAAAACTCGTTGTGGTTTGCCTTCACTTTTAAAAGTCTGGCTGCTTCAAAGGAGATAATCGCCAAGGAAGAAAGTCTCTAATACCTTCTGTTTCGACTGAAAATTGAGTTTAGAATTTTTTTTTAGTTTTGAGATATGATCTTCCATTTTGTCTAAACAAATTTAAACAAGTGTACCATTATAGATTTGCTTCACCCCCGCCTCTCTGCGTAACAGACAAACGCACAGCGACTGCACCTGCTTCATTGTCCCTATGGGGCAGCACTGCCCCCTATTGGTGTGGCACATTACTTTCATCCTTAACCTATGTATTTTCACCGTGCATTTATGACCGATTAGAAAGAAGAAATATGTCACACACATTCATTCAATATATTAGACAGACTGTAGAACATCAACATGTGTAGCACATGTGTAATCAAACATATATAATGGCAATTTAAAGAGAGACAGCAATGGGCATGCACCAACCACCTACTTCATATATTGTATGACACAGCGCCCCCAGAGGTGAATCTGAGCACTACACTGCCTCACCCAGTGCATTTCTTCCATGTTTGAGCAGGCAATGCGTAAATAATGCAATTTTGACCATTGAAGTGTTGAAAGAATTCAGAAAACAGTTTTATCAAACACTTTTATAGAAAAGTCAAGGGGTCACATGTATTTTCTCTTATCATTTTTAGTATTTTACTTGTCATGATGACAGGTGAGTCACTGCCTCACCTGCCTCCCCTGACTGCACGTCACTGGTATTAAATCTTTTCTTTAAAACTTGAGTGTTTGGCAGTTGTTTTTTCTTTGCAAGTCAGACTTTACTTTAATTCTGCTTCCTACTTCTTTTATTTGTTCACCTTTATTCCTCTTATCCACAGTCTTCTAGTGAATTATTTTGCTGTAAATGCCACCAATATAATGCGGTTGAAAATTCTGTAACAAATAAATATTGTGTGATGCACATCACATTGGCAAACATGGCAGTTTTTCAAGGATTCATGGAAGGCAAATTAGTTGATTCAGCTATTAAAAGTTTGATAAAGTCTATAAATATATATTTTTATCAAGGCTTTGTCTTGAGGTACTTATGTACAATTTAGTAAGTATTTGAGTTGTTGGTAAAAAGAGTTTTCAAGTTGCTTCACTGTCTTTGCAGTGGGTTGTCAGTGAGCCAGCTGCAACAAACTGATGGAAAGCTGTATTTTCTTTTGCAAACAAATATATACTATAATTAGCCTCTTTATTTGTGGGGTTTATTTAAGCATGCACCTCAAACATCATTTCTCCTTCCCCCTCAGTTTCCAGTTTGAGTCGGATCTGTCGGACATCTCAGCAAAATATTTTTCCAACTGTCCGCAGATCGAAAGCATAATATTTGTTTCGGCAAATAAGCTTATTAGCATAGCAGCACTACAGTGTGGTGTTGTCTTTGTTGCTCTGATAATGTCTTCATGTAGCTGGAAGAGGAGGCGTGAGGAAGGATGAGAGGAAGCGAAGTGCTCTTGACTTGAGGAACTGTTTGACGTCGGCTCAGACAGCGAGACGTCCACGTTTCACAGCTTTGGAAGATGCAGAACTGGAGGGCGTTGTGTTTTCAGACCCTGAAGATGTTGCTGACAGCTGGACATCAGCGAAGTGAAACACACTCAAAGCTTTTGACTTCAGTAAACGTTAAAACACAGACGGCAGTGGCAGAACTTTAGGATAAACCTTTGAACTTGTGGAAGAGATTCATAAAGTTTTAACCGACTTCTGGGAAAATCTGTCTCTTGTGGGTGGATATTGTTCCTTACTTTGCACATGGATTCTGTTTTATCAGGACATTTTTTCCACATATTAAAATCCCACCATATTTGCTAACTTATGCAAGACAATCTGCATAATAAATGGAATTTTTTTTAATTAAATGTAGTCTTCAAAACTGGTTTAAACAGTGGACCTGAGAATGAGCATCATGATGAACGAATCACTTTGCAGAATGAAGGATGCTCTGAAATTGTTGAGCCATGTCCTTAACATGAAGGACAGAAAGCCGCGGGGTGGGAGCAGTTGTCAACGCCACTCTTGCTCTGTCTGGAAGGAATCAATCCTTATTTTTTATCAGTGGACACTCTGAAAGAAGGCTTACCTGCTTTGGTTTCTATTTAATCTGCCTTGTTTTTATTTTTGTCAATTAAAAAAAATCAAGTTTTAACTATGTTAACATGTTCGTATAATTCCTGTATATAATTATACAGTGAACACTGAGGCTCAGAATATCCAACTTGGACCTGCGATGAGAGAACTGTAAGGTGAGCACCAGAGAGATTCATTATTTATTCTTTTGAATGAAGCAATGTCAGGATCTGAAAGGATTTCAGTAAAAACAGGAGCACAAATATGCAATTTTTATGAGCAAATACATGTTAGGAATTTATCAAATGCAGACAAGTATTCAAATGATTCTTCTTGTTCTTTTCTTTAATTATGGCATCAGTTTGACGTTTTATTCTTTACATTTCCCCTCATCAGGCCTTCTTTATTCACTCATCACTGAGATAAAAGCTGGGATCCTAGTGTGTCAAGCTTGGACGTATGGATGTTTTCTTTTTTTTTTTTATTTCTTATTGCAACGCCACCTTAGGACTTTCACCCAAGGAAATAATTTATACACATAAAGGCACTTAGGTTCGTTTATGAGAAAGCAGGACACTGTGTTCCAAGCTAAAATGTAATTTTTATTAAGACAAGTTAAAAAAAAAATTGAATGGAGGCAATAATGATAGACACAAAAAAAAGTTTAACGAAGGCTGAGGCTTTCCGGTGATCGGTCATCTAAACAGAAAAATGGATTAAGGCAACGCAAAACAGGAATTCACCCAAAGTTGTGATACACGGCACATAAGGGGATGAAAACCAACACCAGACTGGACTGCCACCTTCAACCTGAGACATACAGTGCCTTGCAAAAGTATTCGTCCCCTTGAACTTTTCAACCTTTTGCCACATTTCAGGCTTCAAACATAAAGATATAAAATTAAAATATTTTGTGAAGAATCAACAACAAGTGGGACACAATCGTGAAGTGGAATGAAATTTATTGGATGTGTCAAACTTTTTTAACAAATAAAAAACTGAAAAGTGGGGCGTGCAATATTATTCGGCCCCTTTACTTTCAGTGCAGCAAACTCACTCCAGAAGTTCAGTGAGGATCTATGAATGATCCAATGTTGTCCCAAATGACTGATGATGATAAATAGAATCCACCTGTTTGTAATCAAGTCTCCGTATAAATGCACCTGCTCTGTGATAGTCTCAGGGTTCTGTTCAAAGCAGAGAGCATCATGAAGACCAAGGAACACACCAGGCAGGTCTGAGATACTGTTGTGGAGAAGTTTAAAGCCGGATTTGGATACAAAAAGATTTCCCAAGCTTTAAACATCCCAAGGAGCACTGTGCAAGCAATCATATTGAAATGGAAGGAGTATCAGACCACTGCAAATGTACCAAGACCCGGCTGTCCCTCTAAACTTTCATCTCGAACAAGGAGAAGACTGATCAGAGATGCAGCCAAGAGGCCCATGATCACTCTGGATGAACTGCAGAGATCTACAGCTGAGGTGGGAGAGTCTGTCCATAGGACAACAATCAGTCGTACACTGCACAAATCTGACCTTTATGGAAGAGTGGCAAGAAGAAAGTCATTTCTCAAAGATATCCATAGAAAGTGTTGTTTAAAGTTTGTCACAAGCACCTGGGAGACACACCAAACATGTGGAAGAAGGTGCTCTGGTCACATGAAACCAAAATCGAACTGTTTGGCCACAATGCAAAACGATATGTTTGGCGTAAAAGCAACACAGCTCATCACCCTGAACACACCATCCCCACTGTCAAACATGGTGGTGGCAGCATCATGGTTTGGGCCTGTTTTTCATCAGCAGGGACAGGGAAGATGGTCAGACTTGATGGGAAGATGGATGGGGCCAAATACAGGACCATTCTGGAAGAAAACCTGTTTGAGTCTGCAAGAGACCTGAGACTGGGACGGAGATTTATCTTCCAACAAGACAATGATCCAAAACATAAAGACACATCTACAATGGAATGGCTCACAAATAAACGTATCCAAGTGTTGGAATGGCCAAGTCAAAGTCCAGACCTGATTCCAATCGAGAATCTGTGGAAAGAGCTGAAGACTGCTGTTCACTAACGCTCTCCATCAACCTCACTGAGCTCGAGCTGTTTTGCAAAGAAGAATGGGCAAGAATGTCAGTCTCTCCATGTGCAAAACTGATAGAGACAAACCCCAAGAGACTTGCAGCTGGAACTGCAGCAAAAGGCGGAGCTACAAAGTATTAACGCAAGGGGTCGAATAATATTGCACTCCCCACTTTTCAGTTTTTTATTTGTTAAAAAAGTTTGACACATCCAATAAATTTTATTCCACTTCACGATTGTGTCCCACTTGTTGTTGATTCTTCACAAAAAATTTAAATTTTATATCTTTATGTTTGAAGCCTGAAATGTGGCAAAAGGTTGAAAAGTTCAAGGTGGCTGAATACTTTTGCAAGGCACTGTAAATATGAAATTAAGTAAACAAAAATATGAACAACATTTAAGAGTTGCAAACAAACAAACATGGACCTCACATTCACATGCAATAGTAGTGAAAATGGCCCCAGCCTTTAGTTCAGTCAGCCAATCTTCTCTCAGGTAAGACACTGCCTAATTATGGTGACTCAAGCCAGCTGTGAGAGTCCACCAAGGCAGGCCTGAGCAGAATGAGGACAGCTTGGATCAACTGAACCAGCTGACCCGGAGCAACAAATTAAAACATGCTCAAACATTTCAAAGCTCTACAAACATGAGCAGCCAAGCAAAGCAAAACAGCAGGGTGTCTTACGGGACTGGAGTGACGTCAGTTCACTTCTGCTATCACATCACCGAGGAGAGGAGAAAGTCACGCCCTCTGCGACAGATGACTCACATGCCAGTCACGCTCATGAGGAAAGCAAACAATATTTTCCCAATCTTTAGTGGACACCACATCGAGCACTATCAACACAGGTAGTGCTGATCAGCAGCACCACCAGGTAACCAGGAAGTCAGTAATACCAAAGAGGGAATCACAGCCTGAGAAACACACCTGCTTATATAATGCACCCTCTCCTGCGATTGGCCAGCCAACTTACACTGCTGTATCCAGCTGGAGCAGGGGCAATCATACTGCTACACAAGGTTATGGCTGTCTTGCTTTCATCCATTACTGATTATGGCTCACTGACATCAGAGGAAACACAGCACAGGACAGTTGCCTCTCCTAACCTGCGCACAGGCTTGACAGTCAGAAACAAAATCTTTTAACATCATGATATAGAGTTGGCCACAAAAACATCTTTGAGTCACCAAAGTCCATACTCAATAATCCAGGTATAAAATCCAACAATGTTCAGTCAGGTCATCTGGACAGTTTCTTTATTTTGCTGAGACGTTACATCCTTCATCCAAAGGATTTCTTCAATTTGAGGAGCCACCAACAAACAGAGGAAATGACGGGGGAGAGGGAGGGCCCCAGAGGCTATGTTAGCACCAGCAAACTGTTTTTGCCCCACTATGGAGTATGTTGTTTGTGGTCATCAGTTTTGTTTGTCAGTGGCTCCTCAGATCGAAGAAGTCCTTTGGATGAAGGACGAAACGTCTCAGAAAAAAAAAAAGAAACTGTTCAGATGACCTAACTGAAAATTGTTGGATCTTTGAGTCAATTCCAAAGTTCTTTTGACCCCAGGACACCAGCTGAGTTGTGTCCACGGATGGACCTGTGATCTTAATGAGGCAGGTACAAACAGCCAGTTTGTAGGACCTGTACCAGGATCAGGTTTTGTTGCTTGTGCATACTGTACTTGCTGATGTTTTCTTCCCAGGTACTAATTTATATAATATATTGATAATGCAGGATGCAAGTAAGATGTTTTCAGAGGTTTTCGGTTCAAATGAGGACAATTGACAGGAAAATGCATCAGGTTTGAGATTCATGGACCCTGGATGGTAGGTGATTGGGAACTTCTTTTTTTGGCTTTTCCCTCAAGTTCAGGGTTCTCCACAGCGAGTCATCGTCCTCCATGTCACTCTGTCCTCACTCCCCCTATGTCCTCCATGTCCTCTCTAACTGCATCCATATATCTCCTCTTTGGCTTTTTTTTTTTTTGGCAAATCCAAGGAAAAATTGAAGTTGCTTGCATGTTGGAATTGACCATTCAGAAACTGCCTTTATCTTGCATAAACAAATGTCCCCTGTCTGCTCTCGAAGATGTATCTTTGGAACGATGCTGATGTAATGTAGAACTCACATTTGTCAGCCTTTACAGACATCTGTTTTTTAAGGAGTCATTGAAGAACTGACCTCACATGTCTCCCGTGATGTTAAGGATTCTTGGAGAAGATCAATATGTTGTCTTCGCCAAAAAAGACAAATTTATTGAGGAAATCTCTTAAGATCTATGTGTCCTATGGGGATCCTAAAAAAGGTTAAAAAACAAAACAACTGGATTTCTGAAGCTGAAGATATTTCACTTCCCGTCCTGGAGGCTTCATCAATTCAAAAATGTGTGGAGTATGTGGAGCTCCAAGTTTTATAAGAGACCTGGTTGTGTACCTTCACATATATTTGACTAAAACTACTCGTCCCTCACAATGGAGGCTCATTAGGCTCTTTGCTTGGCTCAGAGATAAATCTTTTAGTCACCTGCATGAAGGTGTGAATTGGAGTGGAGCTAACATCAGGCTTATTGATACATTGTAAGATTTTGAATGTTGAAATCTGAGACCTCATCCTCTGTTTAAAGTTGTTCTTTCTCGTTTGACGTAAATGGCTGCCCCCCCCCCCCCCCAAACCATCTGTCTTCTCTATCTAAAATATGAACACTTTGGTCCTCTAAAGAGTGTCCATTATCCTTGAGATGTAGGTGGACCGCTGAGTCTTGTCCTGAAGAGCAGCTCTTCTGTGTTGAGCCATGTGTCTGTGAAGAGGTTGTTTAGTTTCTTCAATACGGAGGTCTGAACATTCCTCACTGCACTGAACTGCAGACACCACACTGCTCAGCGTGGGTTTAGAGGTTATGTCCTTGGGATGGACCAGCCTCTGGTTGAGGGTCCTGTTGGGTTAATAATATACTAGGATGTTGTATTTGGAGAAAATCCTTCTGTCTTAGGGTGATTTGAAGGCTATCTTCCACTGAGCGTCCTATTTGACGTGAACCTAATGGATAGCATTGCTTAAATCTAACTTTGAAAAAGCTTAACTGAATGTAACAGTTCAAAAACTGAATCTGTTAAAGTGATACTTATTCTTGACAGTGATTTGGTTAAAACCTTGCTAGTCAGTGCATGGTCAAATGGTCTTATCTTTGTTGTCCACAAAGAAAAAACATGCACCAAGGTATATGGACTATCTGGAAGTGCTTAATGGACCGCCTTGTCGTCAAATGCATATGTAACATGTTCACAAATGTGCTTGCTGGCAGAGTTTTTTGATGTCTTCATTAATGTCCTGATAGGGCGAGGTGTGAAGAGATCGTTTTTTGTAATGTCACTACTATCCTCTCCTTATGGTTTAGTCCCTTTTTCTATCTAAAAAATGTATTCTGAAAAGGATACGAGGCCGCGCTATCATAGCAGCGGCTACGTGCACTCCGCCCATCTTTCGGACGACTGTATGAACATAATCTCGCTGTATCTCGATGCAATGATAATAAAGCTTGTTCTGATTCTGATTCTGAGTATGGAAGGATGAATAAAATAAAGTGCTATGTGTTGTCATCATGCAGCCAGTGAGTTTTTGATGTAATTCTTCTTGGGACTGGACAAATTGTTCAGACAACTGGATGCCAAAGGTGCTCCAGGTAGAAGGTCTTTGGTGCAGTCTTATGGACGATGGAGTAGAAGAGAGCATTTTTTCCTTGCTAAGGAAGGGGAGAAGATTGTGATACATGGAAGGTACATCGGACATGTTGGATTTTTCACTAGGAGGAAGAACAGGCGGAAAGATGGTGATGGCAGAGTGAGAAAGTAGGCTAAACAGAAAGTGCTCTAATAGTTCATCCTATTTTCAGCCCAGTTGATGCTTGAGTTGTGTTTACATAATCATGTGAAACCAAACACTAGAGAAGAGTTGTGGAAAGAAATAAAGAAAATTTTGCCCTCAAACGATTTTGGTCCTGTGTGGTGGTAAAAATGTGTCCATGTAATGCAGACTGTTAGAGGCTGAGAGAGTGGCACTGTGGGGATCTGACATTGCCGTACAGTTCTTCATTGGTTCAGATCTGTTCTACTCCAGAACATGTTACTGCCTGAAGGTGTAATGTGATCCAAATAACTCTGACATTAACAAAGGGTCCGGGGCCAAGGGTTCTTATAGGAATGTGGGTAGAGTGTAAAATGTAAAACACCTTTAAGACTTTCAAAATTACTCTTAAAAGTTCCAGTTTTTCCTTTTCCCTTGTTCTTCTGGTTTCTTACCTTCTGGACCGCCACAGGCCACCCGACATGCCTGCAGTTCACTGACAACATGATGCAGGCGGTGAGGACGTACCAGTGGCAGTGCATCGAGTGCAAGTCCTGCAGCCTCTGTGGCACTTCGGAGAATGACGTACGTATCGTACATCACACCAGTGTTCCCAGCACCTATTTATACCTTATGTTCAACACGATTGATTTCTGTTTTCATTTATATCCTGAGTTGTGTCCTCTACTTGTCTTTGTCTCGTTTAGGATATTGATTGTATGCTTTTCTTGCAGGACCAGCTGCTGTTCTGCGATGACTGTGACAGAGGATATCACATGTACTGCCTGAAGCCTCCAATGACCCAGCCTCCTGAAGGTGAGTGCCACCCTTTCTGGTTTTATTCAACACCGATGCTAAGAAGTCCATGCATGGAGGGATTAAAGGACGTATTCCAGTCACTCTGTCTCACTGGTTTTATTCCAGGGAGCTGGAGCTGCCACTTGTGTCTGGACCTGTTAAAGGACAAGGCTTCAGCCTACATCGAAGCATAACAGCAACCTGTAAATCATACAAAACACACATCTACACTGACTGTTTGGGAAAAACTTCAGGAACACACGCATAGACACAGCCAATTCTTTATGACGCCCACATACACATTCCAGTGCATTAGCAGGCTCAGGGTGGTTTCCTGTTTGAAGAGACCCTCTACCTCTCAGAAAGCCAAGCAACACTCAACAGATGCAAATGCCATCAGCACGCAGGTCGGCGAACAGCGGGTCTGCTGTTCAGACGTTTCTCTACCTCACCACCCAGTGGACGGCAAGAAGCCAAAGCAAGAAAGAAGCAAAGCAAGCTATTACGAACCGAACACGTCCAGCTCTCTGTACGTGTCACACCCTCATTGAAATTTATTTTGATGATGGATATACTTGGAAGGCGTTTGTTCAAGCTGTATCACTTTCAGCTGCGTTGGGATGTCCAGCAGAGAAGAACGGATCAAGTTTGACTGATGTTTGTTTAAATTTCTCCTTCCAGCTCCCACTCCTCTCCTGTGTTTAGACTCTGCAGTGACATTCCTGCTTTATATCCGCACCAAGTCTGTGTTCGTTATCCCACTTTTCGCGAGTATTTTGTCAAGCTTTTTTAAAAAAAATTTACATCCTAAGAGGAAAGGAGGGACAAAAAGACAGAAAATCATTTTCTTTGGGCGCAAAGCGACATTTTTGAACCGTCTGTTTTCTGTAACCAGCAGGTTCTCAGTGCGGCTCTAAACGAACAATTTCAATGTTATTTCCAAAGAATTATATGTTTTTTTTTACATTTTTGATCATAGTTAATAGTTGCTTTTAAGGAGTTAAGTTATTGTATATCAGTGAACTGTTTCTTTTTCACAAAGTTTCTTTTTTACGACTTTTATATCAGCTAAACAAGCTTCAATTTGCATGATCTGGAATTTCTAACATTATATTCCAATGAAAAAGAAGGGTTATATTTTGTCCAAACTACTACAACTAGACACAAAATAATAATAATTTGTTCTTTTATTGCTGAACTAAGCGAGCCCCGAACCTTATTTATTTCTTCTCTGTCAACCTTTAACAAATCCTTTAGTGTTTTTTTAAATGTAAATACTATTTGTCTTCATGCTTGCACTTCACTCTAATTAAAAATAATTACTTTAACATCTTTAAACATTAATATAAAACAGAAACTATGAAACTAATGTCACAGTTAACTCTCATTTTAAAAAAATCTGAGTTGAAGTGAGTATATCTTGCTGTTTTACTGAGATTTAAGGAACACGTTTGACCTAATTAAGAATAAACTTAGAAAAAGTTGAAACATATCAACTAATTTGCATCTTTAAATTAAACATTTTTTTTTATTGTTCTCATCCTCGAACCTTTAAGGTTCATACTCAGAAAATAATATCAACAGAGACTTGCAGACCCAACTATTGCTGGTTGACGCATGATGTTGTTAATTTAAACTAATATAACAGTATAAACAGTTTCATGCTTTAATTCATGTTTCTATGATGGTTCCTGTCTCTTCTTCGTCTAAGTTGGTCTGAACCACAGTTTGGAAGCCATGGCTGCAAAATATTTATTATTAAACCACCAAACTTTCATAATTAATTTGAGCAAGCTGTGGTCATTCTTTTTTTTTCTCTTTGTTCAATATGAAATTAAGCCCTGGTGATTTTTGACGTCATCAGTGTAATTTGTTTTTATTATGAGCGACATTTGGTAACAACCAATGCTCTCTAAAATGCTTAAATAGAAGAAACACCACAAATAAGCTCAAAAAAAGGATGGAAAAAAGCAGGAAAGAGCTTCTGAAGTGCACATAGTGAGTACATTTTGACATCAACTTGTGTATTTGTGTTTGTTGTGAGTTTGTACTTGATTGTGCTTTTCTATTGACAATCATGAATTAGTTTATAGATACATTTTGTTTAAAAGGGTTTCTTATTATGGCACTTGTATTAATTATGTCTGCTGTATTTTTTTGTCTTGGACATGACTTTGAGTCATAGTTTCTGTGGTATTTTGTTCAAGTGAAACTACATTTTGTTTAAATAAAGAATTTCTCCACCATTCTTGTTCCCTTGTGTGCAGTCTATAAATAGAAAGTTTTTTTGTCAAGACTTTCTCATTAAAGTTTTACGTATTAAGAAACAAAAACTTAGTTTACAAAATAAAAAAATGAAATGAAATGAAAGCGTAAAGGAACCCTTAATAAAAAGTAGTACATTTGAAGTTCATTTTTGCAAGTATACTTTAAGTTAAGTATAAGTAGATCAAGTATACTACACACCATACTTGTAGTGTACTAGAAAGTATACTAATTTAATACTTGTTTGGACTAAATTGGGACATTTTTATACTATTTATATTAAATAAAGTTTATAAAAAGTAAACTTCAAGTACACTTCCTCATTTTTAGTGTAAAACAAGTATACTTGTATTACACTTAAATAAACTACTTTTTGCTAAGGGAATATGTGATGCAAATCCATCCAAACCTGTTTATGTATTGATTTTGTACTGATTTATGTATTCTTGTACATTTACTGATCATGTGTACAGTGCTTGTCTGTCTTTTGGAAAAATATCTGAACCAGTGGATGGGTTTTATTGAAACTCAAAGTAATTTGACATGAGCAAGCACAAAAACGGCAATGTCAGTCAATTTTACAAATACTGAGTTAAAGTTTTGTGTGGTAGTAGCTGAGAGTCATCCCCAACACATATTCTGAAAGATGGCAGATTGCATGTCACCCTTGTTTAAAGTTAGCAATATATATTCCTTCCATTAATGAAAGTTTTTATTTATTTTCCATTTAATGGTGTCAGTTGGTAGCAACTTCACCACCAGAGAAATGATGCAACGCCAACATTCACCTTTTCATTAGGTGAGGTGCATCCTGGGTAGTTCATGCTGCCTGTTTAAATGACAATTATTTTTTTGACCACTAGAGGTCAGTGTTGAGCTGGATTTTGAGCAGCATGTTCATTAATTTGAATAAAGTGGTTTTAGTACTATGATCTGAATTACATCTCTTTAGAGTTTTTTTTAGATTTATGTAACTGGGGATGCTGTGGAGACATTATTTCTGCCACTGGTGAAATCATTGAGATGTTAGCACTGCAGTGCAAACACGTCCATGTGTTGTACGACCATGTTCTTAAAATTCCCCGAGCATTGTACTTTTTCATTAAGTTCCAGTGAACTCTGAAAGGCTCTTTTCAAATAAAGCCACAGATTATCATTTGGCTGTTTCTGCTCATTTAAATGTGGGTATAAGACAAATATCTATATATTTGTGTTCAGGTCAAATCAAAACACCTTTGACTCTTTTTAGAAGTTTTCTCTGTAAGAAAACACCTCATTTCATTTGATTCATAGGAGGTGTCATGACTTTACTCGCATAGATCACCTGCACAGACAACATGTAATTTGATCAATTTGATTCAGTTTTGTGTGATTTATTCACCTTTGTATAGCAAGCTTGGTGTTCCCAGTCAAAAATGACCATTAGAGATTATTGCATGAGACGTGTGTAAAAACGGACTTCAACTATCAGTACACTGAGGCTCTCGATTATTTCTTGGCTCACAAAACTGTAGAAAAGCTATAATCAGATATAATAAAGGCTCGTTGTCTCTGACTGAGAACACAAAAATAACTAACAAGGTAGGAGGGTTAAGTTAACATCTTTGCAAATTAAAAATATTAAAATATTGTTTTTCTATTTAAAAAATAAAGTATATTTTGTGGGTTTTCTGTATTTGGCTGTGCTAACGTTCTGTAAACTACACCAAAAATACAAAAGTTTCAAAGTTATACACTTTATGAGTGAGAAGTCGCTGATGTTTTATGAGGCTTCTATATTAGTGAAATATGAGCAAAGACACAGGAAAGACTGTAATGACCAGCTAACATTCTTCAAACAATGAGGAAATAAAACATATAAACCTTAAGTTCAAAGTGATCACCGTTTTATTGAAGAAGTTTGTTCTTGTCTCAGCAGCTTGTTCTCATTTCCCTGATGATGGACAGGAACGTTGTTGTGGCGAAGCTGGGATGCAGCATCAGCTGCTCCATCAGATCTCTGCCTTTCTCCCTCGTGGACACTGAACACATCGCGCCTTTCCACATATTCACCAACCTTCCACCTGGTAGAGAACAAAGGATCGCTGTCGTCCATGGAGCCACAACCAAATTTTAACATGTGTTTAGGTGTCCTACCAAGAAAAGTGTTGATCCTCCTCATCCAGGAGAAAGTAGACAACGAGTGGTTCTCCTCCTGAGTCAGGTCAGTAATGTTGGGAGCCACATCATACTCCTACAGATATCAGTAAAAGTACGAGGGGTGAAAATTCACACATTTTTTAACATAACTGATGGAAGTGGATGTACCTTTAAAATTTGACCCGGCAGAGGGCTGATGACGGGCACAGACTTCTCCAAGCTGGAGTGGAAATGAGCCGCGGAAACATACTCAGCTGAGTTCAACCAGCTGCTGGCAAATGACACCTCCTCAGATGAATAATGGCTCTGCCTAAAGAAGACAGCAACAGGGAAGGGAGAATTAAAACTAGTAAGGAGAACTGCTCAAGTTGATTTAACAGGCCATCTGTCATCCGTATACCAGTATCTAAACCAATACTGACAGGAAAACCAATATGAATGTATTCTAATGGTGCTCAAGAGTCTTTTCAGCTCCTGGAATTTAAAAAGGCAGAGTTAAAAAGTCTTTCTGCACTTCATCAATGAACGCTGATTAAAAAACGCTTGCTAAAGTACAGTAGATGAACCGTGCTGTGCATCTGAATGCACAAGATGGATGGATGGATGGATGGATGGAAGGATTTATGATGGATGAATGAATGGATGGATGGATGGATGGATGGATGGATGGATGGATGGATGGATGGATGGATGGATGGATGGATGGATGGATGGATGGATGGATGGATTAATGGATGATGTATGGATTAATGGATGGATGGATGGATTAATTGATGGATGGATGATGGATGGATGGATGGATGATGGATGGATGGATGGATTAATGGATGGCTGGATTAATGGGTGGATGGATGGATGGATGGATGGATGGATGGATGAATGGATGGATGATGGACAGATGGATGGATGGATTAATGAATGGATGGATGGATTAATGGATGATGTATGGATTAATGGATGGATGGATGGATTAATTGATGGATGGATGATGGATGGATGGAGGGATGGACAGATGGATGGATGATGGATGGATGGATGGATTAAT